ATTTAAATTTAGGGTATAAAATGAAAAGAAACAAAAGATGTTTATTAAGTGATGCAATTCAAATAGTTTCTTTAGGCATTAGACCATGTATTAATGAGGAGTTTAATAAAACATTTATACCGTTTAAGAATACATACAGTAGTAATGTTTTAATTAAATCTTTAAGTAGTTATATAAGATCATGTATTTTATTTCCAATTAGACTTACTATGATTTTCTTTATTTTGTTTCCTTTAGGTGTTTTTACTTTATACTTTAATTCCTTATTAATCTGTTTTAATAATTGGGTTAACTTTATACTTGGTGTAAGAATTAGACATAAAGGATTTAAGAGAGTTTTTAATGGTCCTCATGTTTATGTAGCTAATCACACTACGTTCTTGGATTATTTTATATTAAGTTCTTATAAGTACACTCATGTTACTTTAGGTCAGAAAACTGGTGGTATTTTCAATATATTTGCTCAATTATTAAATAGAGCTAATAAATCAATATTTTTTGATAGAAATGACATCAATGAAAGAAAAGAATCTATTAATTGTTTATCAGAGAGACTTAAAAACCAAAATACTTCTTTATTGATATTTCCTGAAGGTAAATGTAATAACAACAAACACTCTTCTTTATTTTATCAAGGTGCTTTTAGTTTGGGTGTTCCTGTAATACCTGTTGTTATTAAGTATGATCATAAACTGGTTTCACCTGTGTGGCCAGGTGATTTATTCCCTGAAATAATTTACTTACTAACTAGGTTCAGAGTAAACGTTACTGTTAATTGGTTAGAGCCTACTGAAATACGTGAAAATGAAACACCTACAGAATTTGCACATAGAGTTAAAAATTTAATTTCTAAAGTAGGAAATTTAAAAAATACTCTATGGAGTGGTACTTTACATTTGAATGATCAAAAAGCAATTGATTATTTGAGAAAAGCTTTTGTTAGTTTTTACTATAAAATAACCAGAACTTGTTATAAGGAACCTAAAGATGTTTATAATAAATATTATAAACTAACATCTTCTGGTAAAAAAGAAAGAATGTATTTTAATTATTTTTCTTATGAAGAATTTTTTAATCAAGTTAACAAGGAAGTTTATAGAATGAAAAAGTAAAATAATTATAAAAGATTATTGTAGTTTTCAATTAAATAAGTGTTTAAATCTTCAAACTTTTCTCTATCTTTATTATTTGAATAATCCTTAACAAACTGTTTTAATTGTTCTATTTTCTCATTATCATCTTTTAGATTTTTAAATTTTTCTGAATACAATTGTAGAAGTTCAAAGTGACATTGCGACATTAAAATAGTTTTTAATTCTTTATTTTTTGAAAATTTTTTAGCCATAGTAATAATTTCATTAGCTATTTGAAAGTCTTTATAATTAAAATTAGGCAGTGGCGGTGAAAGTCCTTCGTTATAAACTGCAAGCATTTTAATGATAGAAAACACATTTTTACAAAGACTCGAAAACTCCTTTAAACTAATCTCTTTTAAATTAATTTTAGATCTGGAATGATTAGAAGATACTGAAAGATCTTGAGGAAAACTTTCTTCTAAGTCAGTTCTTTCATCTTCTGATAATTCATTAATACTAGATAAATTAAATTGATTATTTCTTTCTAATGAATTTTCTAACTTTTCATCTAAGAGAGATAAAGGTTGATGAAAAGTTGAGTGTTCACTTCCTAATTTCTTATAATGAGCTTCTTCAGTTTTTATACCAACATACGTTAATTGATTTTCCAGTTCACCTTCTTGATTTTTTTCTTTACATTCTTCATTTTGTAATCTATCATCTTGAATTTCTAATTTACCATCTTGATTTTCTTCATTTTGTAATTTACCATCTTTATCATCTTGGGTTTCTAGTTCATCCTCTTTATTTTGTAACTCAAATTCTGAATTAGAAGGATTTCCATTTTTTGATATTACTTCAAATTCACTTTTTTCAGATTTAATTGAATATGAATCTGATTCAGAACTTGTTTTAAAATAAGGATTTTCATTATTACTGCTTTCATATGAATCATTATTAATCATAGACTTACTTCTTTCTAAATTAATATCCTCTTCTTTATTTATTTCCTCTTGATTCTTTCCTGAATAAAAATTACTACTAAGTTTTGGATCACTAAAACTTAATGCTAATACAACTAGAATTATTACTACTACAGACAGTATTATAACTAAAAACCTTATTGCTTTAATATCTTCACACCTATCTTTAGATTCATCAAGCTCATGGTCAATTTTCAGTTCCATTATTAGGGTTTAAAAATTTTAATTTTTTAAAAATAAAATATAATTTTAAGATTATAAAAGATTAATTCTAAGACAGTGTTATTTAGATGTAAACATGTTTTAATTTTAATTTCTAATCTTAAACAATAAATTTGGTAAATTAATATTTTTATATAAGAATTCAATGTTATTAAATAAACATTCTATTTCAAATTATTTATTAACACTCTCAATATAATATATTTATAAATATTTATATTTATTAAGTTTTATGCAAAATAAAATTTATAAAATAAAATTAATTTGTTTCTTTTAACAAACAAATTT